GGGGGGGGGGGGGGAGTGAGGGGAAGAGACGGGGGGAGACAGAGTGAACGGAAGAGGGACCAAGAGAGAGGGGGGGGGCAGCGGGAGAGGAACAGATAGACGACCTTGTCACAACAGACAACAATAAAACCTTTCCGCCTAGACATTCCTTGAGAGCCGATGCAAAGGGCAATCTGCGAGCCAGCCCAATTGGACTTGAAACTGACCAAACACATCAAAACCATCCGTCGAGGTTATTCCTTACCTTTAGAGCCCCCGCAAAGGGTGCGTTTTTCCTCGCCAGGCTTTCCATCAGCGCCTTCCGCACCCTCGAGTACATCGGTCGCAGCGTGGCATCTCCCTGCGCCGGGGCGGGGCAGCCACACATGGCAGCAACCTTTAGCGGTAAGAGAGATTGGTGCACTGACTGCTTCCCGAGGCAGGGACGCCTCGTTGGCTACAGGTAAGTCTGCCTCAAGGAAGAGCAGAAATCGACTTGCACAACGGGTCTGGAGGCGTGATACACACCTTCATTGGCATCCAAGTTGCCTACCTAGGGTGCCTTGTTGGCAGGCAACAGCAGACATACTTCGCAATCAATTTACGGATCTGGAGAACGGTGGCATCTCTCGTCCTGGACACGCAAGTTTCGCCGCAACCGCAATCACAATCACACACACACACACACACACACACATCTTCCGGAGACTGGTCGTGGGAACCAACACAAGACGGTGTCTTCTCTCGAGATTGCAAGACAGCTGCCGTGCCCCTGCCCCAACAATGGCTGGCCACTCCACACTTGTAGGAACATGTTGTATTCGTGAAGTTGCTCTTAAACAGAACTGTAACCCTTCGTCAGATCATGTGAAGCTTCGTCAGATCAGGATGATCAGGATGATCAGGATGCAGGGTGCACCTACACCCAAACGCGATGCCATCAACAACCGCTTCCGCTCTGTTTGATAACGTGACAACCATTCGGATACAAGAATGGACATCCCAACCGCCCCAGTGCTTCAAAGCAAAAGCGGCGCTACAGTATTCCTGCCCGAGACGGCGCAGAACTCCGGGGGCTTGTGCTCTTACACGTGCCAAAAACTCTCCACGCACGCACGCACAGCACATCACCACTGCCACCGCCACCGCCCCCCCACCACAAACAACAACAACAACAACGCGCACCTCAGCCTCTAGCTTGAGGTACCAGAAGAGGAAGTTAGCCACCACTTCGTTCTCGCACGCCCGGCTGATCAGCAGAACCGCCAGCTGCGAAAGCTCCCCGCCCTCGCCCTTTCCCTTGCTGCTGCCGCCCCCCTGTTGCTGCGGCTTCCCGCCGGAAGACGTGTTATTCTGCGAGCATTTCACACCAACAGGGGAGGGGGGGCATCACTCCACTACAAGAGAGATACCACACCGACACAGGTTACGTTTGACCAATGACAGTGTAGCATAGCCAGGGACACATAATACACAAAACAAGATGAACCGCCGTGTATCAACCCCCCCCCACGCCCCCAAAAAAAACGCGTAGCAAAAAACGGGAAACACACACACACACAGTTAGCGCGGTCGACGCTAGTAATAAAAACACACACCCACAGACGACACACAGGACTTCGAGAGCCGGAAACGATTGCACGCGACACCCGGACCAAAATAGAGTTCGTGGATGATTGTTGCTTGTGCTGCTGCTGTATCGATGGATGTCGAGGCAACGAAACATGGGACCGCCTTTGCGAGAGAAATCCCTTTCATGAGGAACTAGAAACAGGAAAGGGGAAGGCAGACACTATCCCTGACCCTAATCCAACTTCCCCGATTGTATGCTTTATCCAATATGTCTACAAAGTAGGAAAGCCCTACGAAGGCTACTGGTATACATGTGGAGGCGAGCCTATGCAAGTCTAAATAGACGAGACCCCTTCCCTCCTCCTTCTCTTCTCACCGATGTGGTCGACTTGAACAGGACGCGGGCAAGGCTCGACGTGTTCTCGCCCGGACCGCTGGAGGGGGCGGGACCGCCGCTCTCGACAAAGAAAGAACCAGCTGCCAAGAACAAAAAGAAGAAAAAAAAAGAAGCGAGTTCGTTTATTTCTTTGGGGATCGATCGGAGGTTGTTTCGGCTCTCGAAACAAGGAAGGAGAGGTTTCAACAGCCTGGAAGAAGGGGTGGTTAGGTAGGCGTGCTTGTCTACCCATGCCTTCCTCCGGACCGAGTTATTCGCGACTCTGCAGCACTCGCTTCCCTTCTCCTCTCGCCATCCCGCCCTCTTTTCCAACCTCTAGATTTGATATCCTCAAGCATGACTTTCTCTTCCTCCTGCGGTGACCGCCCAGCAGCTAAATAGTCATTTCTCCTCTACCACCCCCTACCCTCATCTCGTGTGGATGTATTTTAGTCAGATCTCCAAATGCTACACTCTCCTTTCCAAACCTCTCCGTAACCTCTGAGAGGAACAACACACCCTGCGCGTAACATGTCCCCGTCAATATTCCTGGACTATACGCATCAGCAGCAGCACTCTCTCTTAAAACCTTACTCTTATGCCCTACAACATGTACACATACGTACATCCATGCGCGTGTCTCTTTGTACATCCTCTTCCCGCTGTCACGCTTGGCTAGAAATAAATGACGGCCTCTACCGAGGCTCAACCGTTGTACCACTTTTCATCAGCATTATTGCTGCATCTTCGGTGTCTTTGTTCATTTACGGTCCTGTATTGCTGTATTGGTGTTGTTTCTCATCGAACAAGCTGGCTGCTGTTGCATCGCATCATGTGCAGGAACATGCAGGGCGTGGAGCGATGTCGAAGATTCGTTCACTTTTGCCTACTTGTGGCGGATATCGTCGAGAGATTTGTCCTTCGATGTCATCATGCTTTTTGGCGTTGCGGACGGTACAGTACCGAGTAACGCATGGTGCAGGATATGGAGCGGGACGAGGATTGCTTCCCGGGAGCCAGCTGGAAACGACGAACCCTTCATGCACGCCGCCCTAAAGACTCAAGCAAAACAAGCGCGCAGACAGTCGTGCGGCAAAAAAAAAAAAAATCAAACAACCGGGAGTTGTGGATGACTGAAGCTACCACCCCCCCCGCCGGCCAAAGAAAATGCAACCACGACGCCACAACGAGAAATGAACAAGGCCGAAGGCATGAAAACTCACCGCGACCGGGAGCTTTGGATGATGGCCCTTGTCCTCCTCGCGGGTTGGTCGACGACTGGGCCTCGTGTCTCAGTCCCTGCACCACAGCAAGCGTGAAAGACGGCGATGGGTACAGATAACGACCGCACCTCAGAACTTGAGGACAATTGGCAGTCAAGAACTCAAAAGAACTTGGCAGCGAAGAGTTTCATGCTCAACGTTGTGTGTTGAGCACCAGTGGTGAGCCCGGTCAAGAACACTACACCCTGGACAGCGCTCATTTGTAGCGTACAAGAGGGAACTAACAGCCCCAGCGTCGTCCAAACGTACAGGTTTCGTACAAGTGCGGACAGGTTGTGTTGGTAAAAAATCATGCCCAGACCCCTCCCATGTTATCCTATCCGAAAAAGTCACCAGGGTATATCGCAGGTATCCAACAGAAGGCAAGCAGCCCAAAACAAGGACAACACCTCCACCCGTACAAAGCCATCAGCCTGTTACACCGACCGAGATACAGAGAGAGAGAGAGAGATATGGAGACAGATTGAGACAGATAAGAGATGCGTTTTCAAGATCGAGATACAGAGAGAGAGAGACACACACACAGAAAGAGGTAGAGAGAGACGGAGACAATGCCGCACCTGCACAAGGTGGAGCATGAACACCGCAACCTCCTCGTCCTCCGAGTACTTGAGCGTGTCCAGCGCGAACCTCACGCCCATCTCCTGCGTCCTCCCCACCAGCAGCTNCCACCGGGGCCACCGGCCCGGAGCCCCAGCTCACGGGGGGCGGGGCGCGCAGCGCCGGGGAGGCTGCCAGCGGCATGTTGTAGTTGGACGTCGGGAACCGCGAAGAGCTGCCGGGCGAGAGGCTGAGGAGGGTAGTGGCGCTGGAGGCGGCCTCCGCCGCCTTGGCGAGCTCCGACTGCACGCGGAGGGCCTCGCGGGAGAGCCTGAGATCTCGCTGGGCGGTCCTCGCCCGCTCCTCGGCGTCGGCCAGGAGTTTCTGGGTGGTGACGACCTTTGGTCGGGTGGGTGGGTGAAGGGAGGTGGGAGTCGATGAGGATGGCATGACGCCGTCACGCCCAGCACCCTTTCAACGGGCCTATGGTCTTCACAGCTCAAACAACCCGTCTCGTGGTAAACAAAACAAGAAAAATCAAACCCCGCAGCGTAAGCCCGTCTGTTTCCTGTACCCTTCGACAATAGCAACAGCAACCACATATAGCCCAGCAACCGCAGCTGCAACCAACGCACCTGCTGCTCCGCAGCGGCGAGTTTCTCGCTCGTTTCCTGAAGAATGACTTCCAGAGACTCGGCTCGTCGAGCGGCATCCGCCTGTGCCGTAGCAAGCTGCAGAAACGCGCGAGAAAAACAAAGAACAAACAAAAACGATGAGAAAGGACAAAACAAAAACGATGAGAAGTAGAGCAGGAGGGACGAGGTACGCCTTCGAGAGCAGTTTCGTATACCTGTGGCCGGGAGCAAAATGGAGCTGGGGAGAGACAAAACCAATGCACTGGGATACAAACCTGACCCTACTTCTTTCACCTTCTTCTCGTCCCATGTATTCTGGCCGGTCGGCAGTCCTCACCTCATGGTACACAGCATGAGAAACAAGAACAAAAGTGTCACCCAACACCGAAAACAACAACAGCCACCCCTGCCGCCGCCGACACCACAATTATCACTACACACAGGCCTCGGGCAACACCCCACTGGCCTCATCCGACTACTACCAGCACCAATGACAGCCAAACAAGACATTCCTGCCGCCGCCACCGTCATCACCAACCACACCAAACACCGCCCTCGAACCTCCCCCTCCCCCTCCCCTTCCCACCTCAGTGATGATCTGACTCCCACCAAAAACAGACGCTCCCGGCACCGCCACCATCGTCACCAACCACAGCCCTCCCCCTGGTCATGAGCCTGGCCTTATCCAACTCCCACCAAAAACAGACACTCCTGCCTGCTCCCCCCCACACCTTAGTGATGAGCCTGGCCTTATCCGACTCCGACCCCTTGAGCCTCTCCTCTAGGGACTGCCGCACCGACAGCTGCCGGGTCAGGAACGCAACCTCCGCTTCTAGCTCCGCCGCCCGGGCCGGCGAGGGTATCGTGCGGTGACCCGGGGGGGGAATCCAGTCCGCCACGCCAATGAGGCTGCTGCTGCCACCGCCGCCGCCGGCCGCCCCGCCGTCGTCTTCCGACGGTGCAAACCCCTGAAAGGGGCCGGAATTCCGCCTTGTTTTTTTTGTTTTCAGCCACGGCGTTTGTGCCGTGCGTGGGGCAAGGGAGCAAAGGGCAGGATGATTTTTCAAAAGGGTCCATTGTTTACTGACAGATCTTGCGAGGATAGCGTGCGAATATGCCAAGGATTAGAGAAATTGATATCAGAAGATTCAGGGAATTACGTAAAACGACATTTTCATCGAGAGACGAGACGGGCATGTACAGGGAAAAAGAAGCACCGGGGTACAGCAGAATGCGGAAAGGAATGTGTGGAGAGAATGTTTAGATGCTGAGCATCGCTTATATTTTCCTGAAAAAAATCGAAGGCACAGGTGGTGGTCGGGGGGGCGTACTCGGCACTCGATACCGATCTCCAGGGATTTTGGGGGTTGCGTGGGTGTGTCCGTGTGTGGTGGTAGGACAGTTGGGCGGCGGGCCGGGCTCCCCGGCAGGGTCTCCTCGACTTCTCCCACCCTCACTCTGAAAAACGTATCACGGCACTCGGGCCAACCAATCAAAAATTATGTCCTATTGCCACCAGGCTATCCGCCTCCAAATAGGAGGTACGGTTAGTGCTAAAGAAAACAGCAACCCTACTTTGGTGCGATTTTCCAAGTACGGCGATAGGTCGGGGGTTCCGTGAATGAATGCCTCGCGTGTGGGAGTTAGTTAGGGTGTGCGGTGACGCTACACCCGCCGGAGACAAGGCTCGGAGCCGTAGGCTTGGTTGAATAAATTCAAGGGCTACAGCTGCTGTTAATGCTAGGCTTACCGGATGACTTGGGCATCGCGGTCCTTGTCCTCCGGAGTACCGATGGCCTCGTCTCCCCCCGTCAGGCCGCTGTAGAGGAAAACAGATCCATGCCGCCAAACAACGAACAAGCGTGGCCGACAAACACAGAGGATGGAGTTAAAAACAAATGTAGCACACACCTATGCAGGAAGGTAGGTAAGCACACACACCTACACAGGCCGATGCATCAAAAGCTTGGCGGGGGTCACATTAGTGGCAAAAAAAAAAATCCGGGATAGATAAGACATCAACCAGCTGGCCTCCAGCGGAAGGGGTTGGCGATGCAACAACGTGTCACAAATCATGCATCCGTAGCCCTCGCAGGGTTTTTCGTACAATGTAAACACGCTGGAAAAAGCATGCAACCGGGGAAGTTGGGTTAAGGTTAGGGAATACGGTCTGCGTCGCCCTCCCTGTTCTATTTCCTCATAAAATTATTTATCAATCACGCGAAGGCGGTCCTCATTGCATGCCTCACATTCCGCGATTGGGCGACAGCGGTCGCGCCCGGGACGTCATCCTCGTCCTGCTCATGATGCCATCCTCGTCGTCGTCGTCTCCTACGGCCGTCGCCCTCGGCGCCGCACCATCATCCTGCGGAACCCCGCGACGTTTGATTGAGGTCGTGGCAGGGGGGGGGGGGGGGGGGGGGGGGGGGGGGGGGGGGGGGCTAAAGGTNGGGGGGGGGGAGGGGCGTGTGTGTTGCACAAGCCGTTAGACCAATTGACCATGGGGGGGGGAGGTGCTCGTGTTTTGCATGCCTTAGTGGTTAGACCGTTGACCACGCGCCCTCCACAGGATGGATCAGGGTTCCCACAGGACCGATGGCTCATCGTTCCGTGGCGATAGGGGGGGGCACGCCAGAGTTGCGCGCAGCGGATAGGGCCGGGATCGGGAGAGACACACGGAGACAGATGGGGGCGAATTTGATCGCAACGCGTTCGCTCGTTTGAGGCACAGACTCGTCCTCAAGAACCTCCAACAGCCCACTCCACCTGCCCTGCCTCTGCCTGCCCGGATGTCTGCCCATATGAAATAAAAAAAATAATTCACAAGAATCACTCACCGCCGTCTTCGCGGGAAGCGGAGATAAATTCGTCGGCGGAGAACCCGGGGATGCGCTCAACAGCGTCCCCGCCGCCCCCCCCGAACGGGAAGGGGTCCCGCCGCCTCCCCCGCTCCATGCCTTGCCGGCGGCGGTGGCGGTTTCGAAGCGGCCGCCGGTCGACCGACGCCGAACAGCGGGGAAGCCGGGTCCCCGGCTGATGGGGGTACTGGGGGGCCTCGCGGATTGCTGCTTCGGTGGGGGGTCCGTGGGCCCCAGGACCGACGAGTCACCGTTTCCGGCCTGCTGCTCCAGATACCCCCGCTCCATGGCCCTCAGGTGTTGCTGCGGACGCACGCATCGCAACGGGGGGGGGGGGNGGGGGGGGGGGGGGGGGGGGGGGGGGGGGGGTACTCTCATGTTTTGCGTGCCTTGGCGGTTACACAAGCGACCCCTCGAGGGGAAGGTAGATGGCAGGGAGTCGAAGAAAAGACGAAAATAAGAAACCGGAGGGGGCAGACAGAGTGGAACAGAGGGGGGGAGTGCTACGGGGCAGCAAAGGCGCGCCACTCATCGCAACTTGGGCCTCGAAGGAACGGGATAGCACAAGGTGCCACTCATTTCAAGACCCAACAAACACTCAAACGTTCTTTTCACATTTGTTATCCGAACAGTCCTTGTGCTACCGACCGCGTCAAGTGGAAGATATATGCATACCAAAGTACGCACAAATGAAGGCCCCGGGCGGAGAGATCGGAACGGATTTTAATGTGAAGCCAACAGCAACATCTCTCAGACAGCAGTGGTATTCAATACCACTCAGTTCGAGAACATTATGGCCATTCGGATACAAGCGCGAATACCACAATCATGGTCCCTATTATCATCCAAAAGAGAAGAGGTACTTGTCGACTGGTACACACGTACCCCGAGTCCCTCCAACCGGTCCGCTCTCTCCGTCATGTAGCTCATCTTGGCCATGTGCTGCAGAGTCCCCTTGTTGTCCCACCCTATCAGCCCATGAACCCTTGTCACGGGCCCCTTCGAACGGCAGCGAAGACGGTCAGTAAGGCAACGAAAAAAACAAGAAGGGTCATATGCACATGAGACACACCTTGGCCACGGCTTAAGAATGGGCGCGACCGCAACGCTCACGTCTGATGGAGGATCGCGCGGCCTGATCCGGACACGCGGCCGCCATCTTTCGCTCGGTGCATGCTTGCACCTACTTCCGCTGGCTGTCATCGCCTGGAGAATAAGTGGCTCGCCGGACATCATGCGTACACACACCATCTTGGTTCCGACACTTGGAGGACCATTGGGATACTTCCACTTGTATCCCTAAGGTGCCTCCCACTTGTATGGTAACGGTTCAAATATCTCCAAACCGAATTGGCAAGCTTACCGCCGGAGACTCCATCTCCTCAAGCACAAGACCAGAAGGGAACACCTCCACGTCCACCCCTGCCAGCGCCCACTCCCGCATGATGGGGTGCTCGATGGTCGTGAACACGATCGTGGGGCGGGAGTCCCGTGGCTTGCCGGCCAAGGAGGGGTCGTCCTGTCAAAATGGAAAAACAAACAAAAATCTTGCGGATGAAAACGAGTGCAACAAAACAAACCAAAACAAAATCCCGTGGGTATGCACCAAACACCACAGAAAGAGGAGGGGTGTTATTTATTTACTTGATATGAACATGAAGTATTTTCGTACCTGTTGGTTTTGGGGAGGAAACCACGAAGTACAGGGGGTAGGGTTGGCACTAGAAAGGATGAACGGCAAAAAATGATCGAGTGAGAGCGTCCCCGTACAGGGCGTCCACATACACGTGTGACGACGGGCACAACGCCCGAGGCAACACAGACCGCGCGACTCACAAACATGGAGCGCCGCCCTGTCCGCCCGTTCATACACCTACATGCAAAATCAATTCACCGCCCACACGGACAGCAGCCCCTTGCAACACCCTTCCACAAAGTCACTCGCCTCAAGCCTGGTTGCCGTGTTGTAGCTACTGCTCTCACCGCAACGCCTGGTGGTGGAGACCCGTCCTCGGACACGTATCGCAGCAGCGTGCACCGCCTTGTCCCCGAGAGGTTGGTCGTCCAGTGCGAGCACGCGACGCTGAGCGCGCCGTTGCTCGACTCCACCATGTCACACTGCCATTGTCATTAATTGTTGTGGCTCTCGGTGACGATGGTGTCAGTTTTGTCCGGTTGTTGACTTGGTTGTTCACGTTTGGTGTTGTTCGTGACATAGATTGTGACTGTTGATGCTTGTCGCGGTCGTTGTCAACAACAGCCGTCCCGCACAGAATGGAACGCATCACCATTCCGCATGGCGTCGTCCGACCGCGGCAGCAACATCGGCAACCCAGACAGACCCCTGGGTGGTGCTGTCCCACACAAACATCCAAAGGCTGCCATCAACCGTGGTATCGCTCTCTCTCACTCCCATCCCACCACAAATTTGTCTGCCCCCAGAACCAGTAACAAAAGGCAGAAAACCGACAACCTACACACACATCAACCGTTCAACCGCCATTTCCGTACTTGCGTTGATTGTGAGTCGCGTGCCGGATCACTGCTACAAAGTATAATTCAGCGCATAGGCTTGAAAAAACTCAGAACAAGCCCAGTTTCCAGCCGGGTTTCCCCCCACTCAATTGAAAGACTTGAGCACACCCAACTCGACTGCTGTGGTTAAATCTCGAGCGGGTAGTCTTTCCGTGAATTTATGTACCCTTGCGTTCAGCGACCCCTGCCCTCTACAACTTTCATAAACCCCAACACGCAACTCGGAAAAAACCAAGATTCGTCATCCTTCCTCCTCCCTACCCCCCCCTCCGTAACAAGAAAGGAGGAACACACACTTACGGGGACGGTGTCGCTGTAGGGGTAGTACACCCCCCCCCTCGCCGTCAGCGACGCCAGCCAACGCATAGCAAACCCTAGCGGGACCGCCACCTCCATCTCAACGCGAAGGCGGATCGCCTGCCCCCCCCAGAACATGTTCGCCGCTGCGTAGAGCCTGTTGTGGTTGAGGGGGGGGGGGGGGGGG